TACACAAGTACATGATCTGAGTTCTTGTATTTTTTCAGTTTTGACAGGAAGTTCTGGTTCACAATAATTTTTACTGAGAGCTCCGGTAGATTTTCTTAGTGTACAGGCTGTGATCAGCTGACCTGCTGCTCTGTTTGGATGTAAACAACCAAATTCAACCAGATATCAGCAGATGTTTCATGAGCTGTCCTGCTCAGTCAATGGATCTAAGCATCATCAACTAAAATTCATATGAATCTCTGCTACACTTGACATAACCTTACTTTGACTGTGAAACTGCAGATGATTTTCATGCAATCTTTAAATAACATATAGCTAGCTCAGTTTGTTTTGCAGCAGGTTTCACAATATAAAAAAACCCATAATGTCACGTGTACAGACCCAATATCTGATTTAAAAACATGAGGACTTACATGGAAACTTTAAATCTGCACTATATCAAATTCCACTGAGCAGTCTGAGCAAAAACTCCCCCAAAATGCAAAAGTAACAAGCCTGTTTTGAAAATTTAAGGAGTATAAAATACAGATATTTGTTTAAAAATATAGGGAGTAGAAGTAAAAAGTAAAAAAAACTACTCAAGTAAAGTACAGATACCTGAAAACTGTAAATACCAGTACTTTGTAGTGTAACAAAGTATTTGTACTTTGTTACTTCTCACCTCTACCAATCTGTGGCCCTTTTAAAAATATCACATAAATCAAGTGTATACAGAGTAGTGTGCAGAGTGAACAGAGTAACAGATTTTTGACAGTTGTGGTAGTATTGGTTTTGGCTTGATGTTTTTGGAACGCTGGCTGCATGACAATGCCGGGGACGGCGCTGCCCTCGAGCCCGGCGGTGCCTGTCAGTTTGTTGTTACTGAGCTCTGGATGTCTGCTCCCCTCGGGCAGTGCTCCATCGTTTCTCTCCCCGTGGATTCCTTCTTTCTCTGTTTCACTCTCATTATGTCTGTCTATTTGTCTGCTCGGTCTACAAGTCTGCCTCAGACACACAGATGTCTTCTTCAAAACCCTAGATGCCCTCCATGTCCGGTGTGAGATTTAGTGGCTCTTTTACGAGGAGGCTGTCTGCACTGTCATGCACTTGTTACACTAGATAGCATTCACATATCATCCCTTATTGAATGGCACTGGATGCAGATTTTTTTACCCACCTGCAACTAATTGTAGCTTTCCTAAATGTAAAAAAAACGCAAGCAAGAAAACAGGGTTGAAGTGGGGCTGTGAGAGTCAGCGTGGCTCCTGTCGGCCATATGGCAAATCCATCTGCCCTTCTTTCACCAAGGCAGAAAAAGTTATGCAGGACATGAGGTAAACGTGTCCTGAACAAGCTGCTCTTGTCACTTTATGTGGCTGAGCCGGAGTTAAAGTGTCTTGTCGTGTTATGTAAATGGTCTCGTATATAAGCTGAAAAGCTAGATCTTCAAGATTAAAGCTCACAAGCGAAGAACGAGCTGTTCCAGCGCAGCATGCAGTTGATAAATCTTGCACTTATTGACTGTTAGTGTCGGCATGAGTGTGTGTGCATGTTGTGTGTGTTTATATGTGTTCATGTAGGGAAGTTGTGAGGAGGATGTGCGATTGACTCGCATAGACAGAAAGCACCATATGTTTAGTCCTCCTGTTTGTGTTGTTGTTTTCTTTTTGGACACCTTGGCAGCTCCACCTGCACCTCGGGGCCACTGTGGCTACACCCAGAAAGCATAATGCTGTGTGTGTTTTTTGTTCAATGGTGGAGTGACCATGAGTTTAGGCTTTAGGACATTTCAACTATGAAGCCTAAGCAAAGGCATGACGTGTTTTAAGTGTATGTTACGGTTCAAAAAACAGTTGAAGTCCATAAAGTGTGTGGTTGAGGTTACGTGTCAAGTTCAGGCTCTCCTGAAGGTTTGAATGAATATATTCAGCCTATATTCAGTAATTATAAGTCATATACTCATTTTGATAAGAAGACATGTTTTTATTGAACATGAGTGATGAAGCATCATAGCAGAGTGGAGTCCCAGCAATGATAAGCAGGAACCCCCTGAAGTCTAGACGCTGGTGGTTGGTAGTGAAGATGAGGAGGAAGTGGCACGAGGCAAGATGATATAAGAGCAGTGAGGTTTAAAGCAGACAGTGGAGGCTGATTGGCTCATAGAGAGCAGCAAGAAAATGATTAGACCTGAGCAATGATGTCATTATTTGGTGTAATGGCATGGTTAAGAGGAAGTGATGTAAAAAACACAGACTAGCAGCAGGAATACCCAGTAAAGCAGCCTTTAGTATCCTTCGTCCTCTATGATCCATGAACACACACTCATAAATTCATCTTCGAGTAGTTTTTCAGTGATTTTCGGGGTGAACCAAATGTGGTAAAGTGTCAACAGACCTGTTTCTGGTAGGAAATTGTCACATTTTGAGGCAAAGATGACAAGACTTCATATCAAACCACGTTTGTGTAAAGGTTACATCTGAAGCTAATCAGAAACTTCTTTGTACCATTTATAAAGGTATTTTTACCCACCTATGAGGCCACAAGTTGATTTTAAAGCTCATTATATAATCCTACATTGTTTAAATAAATGTTTCTTGGCAATTATGCAGTTTTTGGGAGGTTCAAATTGTAACAATGCTTATTAAAAATCAAACAGAGAAGCACCCATAGTAAAGAAACAAACAAACAAACTGAAAACGGGATTAGAAACACTGAAATAGATCCAGTGCCTGAAAATTTGTGTTGGAAGTGGTGACCCATCTTGAAAACCCAAGTGGCTATTGGGATTTTTCAAATTAAAGGCTCCAGAGGGACAAACACACTAATTTTGGTGCTTGTTTCCACTTTTGAAAGATTTTCCAGTTGTCTGCTGCACTAGAGGGGATAACTGAAGATGAGGGGGTCGGGTGGTGAAGGATGCAGAGAAAGAAGGGGGTGTGTCGAGTGGCAGGTTTTAGCATGGGGGTGTTTGCATTTGGTGCCAAGGGAGGATTTTTTACACGGACAGCACAAGCTGGGAATGACACACTGTGTGTGTGCTGGAGCTGATGGGATATAAAAAAAGGAGGTGTGTGTGTGTGTGTGTGTTGGGGGGGTCTCCCTGTGGCCTGAAGCCATGTTCATGTTACTAAACCTGGACCGGTTCATTCACACATGCAAGGAAAGAGTGAGAAAGAATGAAAGGCGTGTTTATCCCTCCCCACTTTATGTTCATGAGCCAGCGGTCTGTGTCTGAGGTCTCCCATGGCAACCCAGGCCCCACCCCCTATTTCTTCCCAGCTCAGCATATGAAAGCCATCTGTGTCGACCTCTAATCTCCATCCGTACTCGCTCCCCGCTGGGTCTATATGCTGTGTGTGTATGTTTTTGAACTGAGATTACTGGCCGGGAGCGATGATGCAGGGAACAAAGAAAGCATGGCGTTATTACAACAGTTAAATCAGACTTTGGTGCTCTGATAATGATGATTTGTGCTGCGTGTGCGCTACAGATACATGCAAATGCAAACAGATATGCTTATTTTCATTAAGGTCTTACTAACCATCCGCCACTAAACCTTGACATAATTTCCAATTATACCTGCCGCAGTGATCACTTCACATGCTTGGTCGACTTACATCAAAAACAAAACGAAAAGCTGTTTTTCTTTTTTGTTAGACTGCTCACTGTCATCTACTTCCTTTGTTAAGCTATGAACTTGATTATATCTTAAGTATTTGCTCATACGGCAGGTGACAGCTTTCAGCAAATATCATATTGTGCTGTGCAGTAGTGCAAATTTTGGTATAGATCCTACACCAGGTAAATACAGGGCCGTTATTGACAATAATGATGAATAATGAATAATGAAACTTTTAACCTGTAAAAGCTTATGCAGGGGAGAGAAGTGTTTCATGATTTATGAGTTGAATCATTGTCTGTTTAATGACCACTAAATGACTGTGATTTTTACTTTCCATAATAATTAATTAACACAATAAAATGCATCTTTAAGCTTTCATGTATACTGAAAAGGATTTTTGGAAAGCTGGAACATAAATGTGCCTTCTGTTGTTTGGATGTGCCATATCTTTTAACATGACAGTCAACACAAAAAGGCTAAGATGTAGCGCATGTTTGCAGTATATGTTTTTAATTTAAACAAATATTTATATGTAATAATAATAATAAATATTTTATTTGTACAAATAAACTGAGTTTAGTGCAGACTGTCAGAAAAAACAGTATTTAATTTCCTCTGAATTTTGGTGAAATCTTCTCTTTCATGAGTGTACACTCTAGAAAGCAGAGTTTATAATGAGATTAGTCTGCCAATGCTGTGCTGGCCATTTTCCCACTCTCCCCTGTTAATCATTTATATTCATAAACAACAAATAAATAAATTTTCCCATTTAAACACCACATTGATACTTTTTAGAAATGCTACATAAACCACTTCAGTGTCCTCTGGCGTAAAGGGGATTGGGTTGGAGAAGGGGCTTTAACATTTTATGATACATTTGTTTGAATTAAGAAACCCACAGGCTCCTGATTTCTCTCGGTTAAAGTGGAACGAGGAGCCATAACCAGCTGAAATCATGGCTGGGCCACATAAAAAAAAGAAATGCCACAGCAGACAGATGCACATCTTTCCTTTCCTGACACAGCCCTCCTATTTATCCAAGCTTGGGACTGGTACAAGGAGTATACAACCTTGCGTCCCCTCCTTGCTTTCAATTTGGGGAGTTTTTGTATGTTAACCACTATTCCACTTTATTAGGCACATGTTGCTAGTACTTGGTTTACCCCTCAGTATTGAAAACATTCCTCAGAGATTTTGGTCCCTGTTGACTTGATAGCATCACGCGATTGCTTCAGGTTTGTCAGCTGCACATCCATGATGCAAATCTTTAACTTTACAGGGTCGTCTTGACCTCATCTACATGCCTACATGCGCTGAGTTGCTGCCATATGACTGGCTAAATAGATAACTGTGTGAGTTTGCAGCTTGTATAAAAAGAGAAGCACGTGATTACAGTGATTTATGTTTTATTTAAAACAAAAACAGTGTAGAAAAGCATGTTTCTTTGACATTTTCACTTTAGAATCACATAAAGATCAGTACTTCATACGCAGAACCTGCAAGAAGGCAACAAATGTGGCTTAATCATGACTTACAGCCTTAATCAGTGCTTCCAGCTACATTAGCAAGTTTTTTTCTACCACACTAGAGATGTCTTAGTGTTTCTGACAATACAGTAATGTTAACTGCATTTGTACATCAGACTGAACACAGCTAAAAGGTTTATTAGTGGCACCTTTTTGATGTTTTTTGACACAAATACCTTGGAAAAGTACGCTCTATCAAATGATTAAGTACTATATAGGAGGCTTTACATAAAAAAAAAATAGACTCAAGGCTAACAACATAGGTAAACAATGGCAATTAAACCAGGCACATTATAGACACACTTAGTGCATTTAACAAAGATATGACAGCTGCTCTTCAAAGTGACAGTTCATTAAACACTTTGTGTTAGAACAAAAACAGGTGAGTTAGTTAGTAGTTGTCCATTCAGGACACAGAAGTCAAAGTTAATTGCAGTCCATAATGCACTTCAGCAGTGATAACAGACAATCCTCATACTGTAAGCTTTACACAAGCAAAGGTCACTTGAAATTAAGGATAAAGTGTCAAGCACAAATGTAACAGAAAATTAGGTTGGTCCATTAGCCACTTCAGCAAGTAATAAACTATTATTTAGTGCTCATACTCTGATATAAAAAACAGTGAAACAAGTATTTTTTTTAAAACAATACTAAACTGAATGCAGTGTTTTAGTTTCGAGGTTAATCTTATCCTTCATGTGGTACATCCAGGGCTGTTTCTACCGATTCTCATCCTCTGCCATCAGCAGTTCACAGGCCTGGACTGACTTCCATCTATCAAACTCTGTTAGTTTTATCAGTGGTGAAATTTATAGAGGTTCATGGACAGAAGTGATGAGGTTATCAGCCTCTCCTCTTTCACTACTCTTGCGTCAGCACAGGAATATCAATTTCTATTGCTGACATCCGCGAGCGGGTGGAGTAGCGGTGGCCTGTATAGCTGGATGCGTACCCCTGAGAGGGAGCGTAACTCTGCGAGGGGGCATAGCTCTGCGAGGGAGCGTAACTTTGTGAGGGAGCGTAACTTTGAGAGGGGGCGTAGCCATAGGCGTGGTTTCCTTCAACCTCTGATCCATAGCCATTCGGTGCAGAAACCTGAGACACGTACACCTGTGGTGGAGCAGGTGCAATAACGCTTTGCACGTAGCCCTGCGCGGGCACATGCGGTTGGGCGTTAATTACTGTAGGAGGGAAAGTCTGTGGTGGGAAAGGCTGCGGAACATAAGCTGAGGCAGGAGAATGTGCGTTGGCAATGAGAGGCTGGGTCGACATGGAGTTGGACGTGGACATGGGCAACCAGAAAGGTGAAGGCAGCTTCTTGCACATACAATACCACATGAACATCAGCAGCGCGGCTAGCATCAGTCCTCCAGAACAGCCTATAGATATATACACAGCAAAGCCATCAGAGAAGATGTTGGCATATCTAGCGTTCATCTCCTTGGTGCGGAAAAGGAACCACACGGAGGGCGCAATGGGGACTGCGCCGCCCAGGAAGAAAAACATGCCGGCCACCAGGTGACAACCTGGACTGTTCACCAGGAATCTAACTGTTTTAATGTCCGGTTCAGGCTTGTCTGAGCAGCAACAGGTTTTACACATCCCAGTCATGGACAGCAGCAAGGCTAAAATGCCGAACCCGAGGCCTGTGGGAAGGCAGAACTGCAAAAGCCGCAGATCCAGCTGATCCAACTTGGAGTACCACTGGAAACATAATAATATATAATTAATGCTGGGACTATTATAAACACCTGAGAATTAAAAAACAAAACAAAACATAAGCAGAATAGATCAAGCAATACCTCTGAATCATAGTAGAGGCATCCTGAATAGCCATCCTGCATCACACATTTAGCCCACAGCCCATCATACACACTGATATTCTTGGCATTGCGATTAAAGGTGACGAGTTTCGTTACGCGCCACTGCGGAATTAATGCTGCCACTGTGAGCCCACCTACAGACAAAATAGCAATGATGAAGGCAAAAGCGTTGGTGGCGTGGATGTCCCGGCACGACATGGCTGGTTATTGCTGACAGGGGAGTTTCCGTTTTCCTGGATAAACAACACAAGTCAGACAGAAAGCAGCAACTGATCAGTTTGATGGACACAGAATTCTTGAAAAACGTGGTTATACAAGTTTATCCGAATGGCCCCATTCCTTTATAGAAGCAAGCTAACTGTGCCACACGCTGACCTAGCTATGGGCAACCCCCCTGTATTTCAATTCACCACAGTGTGGTCGACCCAATATCTGCTGTCCCTGAGAAACAATGCTCTCATTTCACCAGCAAACAAAGTGGGAATGACTCGATGACTGAGGCTGCACTGCAGGAGTGTCTATACAGCAGTGCATTACACAGATTACTGTGCAGCTGAACAATGAGCAAGGCTCGAACTTTATATGACGCATGCAACAGTGACTGACTCAGACAATGCAACTTGCAACTGCTTTTTATTTTATCATCTTAAAAAAAGAGCTCTTATTGCCACTTTCATCTCATCTCTGAAGGTTATCAGGGTCTAACTGAGTATGTTTAAAGCACTTTATGGGCCAATTCCTTGTGGCATTGATGGTCTAAAAAAATCAAGGTGCAGCCAGGTGCACTAGCTATTTAAATTACAGGGTCATTCCACCTCAAATCAACAATTTTTTTCAACATTTTCTGCTCAACCATCTCTGATCTGCTTCATAATTTTATGGCCAAAGCTTGGGTTGTTGTGAAATAGCTTCATATATCAAAGGCTTTGTTTTGTTTTTTCGTTTAGAAAAATGTGAGCTTGAAATTTTAACCTGAATCAAGACTCCTCCAGGATATTATTTATCAACAGCAAACAAATTTATGTATTATTTATTCAGTTATAATTAGAGTACCATCTGGAAACTCAACTAGAACTTTTTCTGTTCGGTTAGGACTATCTATTGATATTTTTGTTTTCTGTGGTACAACTTGTGATATTTGCTCAATTTTCTTCATTTTACGAATAAGAATTTCACATCAAAAAGCATTTCACAAGTTTTCTTTTGTATAACTATATGCAACACATAAATTGTCACCAGCTGTATTTTGGAATGTCATTTTTATTTTTATTTTTTGGTGTCATGTCTCAATAGCATTTTGTTTTACAGTTTTCGTTTACTCAGTCGCTATCTTATTGTGTTTTATTAAATGTAACTTTCAAAGTGCCAGCTGTTACAGACCGGTGAATCTAAACTATTTATTCTAGATTATGCTAACGATCAACGTGAGCAGGGTTAATAGCACAGTGATTATTAAACCCAAAGCAGTATAATTATACATACAGTACCGACACAGTGTGAATTGTGGTAGTAAAAAAAAGACCTGAACTCTGTAATAACTGGTTAGCAGATAGCACAGTCAGCTAGGCTAATTGCCGCTACTTTTGCTAGCCGTCAGGCTAGCTCTGTTTGCTCAGACGAATGGAAAGGGCCTGTAAAGTTGTTAATACGTGTTAATAACAGTAACAAAAGCCGATCGTTAACATCAAGTGACTCAAAACGAAGAACGTAGTAGAAAATGTGAACTCCGAATTCGCTAACTAATTAGCCACCTAGCTACAAGCTAAAGAGGTAGCATTACCGCAACTTGTTGACGCCGATTTGTTTTCATACTTTAACTACATTTACTAAAGGGTACTATACCTTGTTGAGCTACGTTTACAGTGAAGTCGGTAACATCTCAGCCTGTTTCTCCTTTACATACTTGAACACAAACCGAGTCTCATACAGTGGCTCGGAGAGTAAACAGGATGTGCCCTCCGCAGAGCTCGGGGTGTTTCCGCCCTCAGAGCTGACTCACAGGAGGTAAACACACCCTTTAACTCACGTTCTAAAGTATTTTTATTTATTAATTTATGTCTGTGATTCTTAAAGTTTTACGTGGAAACAAAAAACTTGACCACGCGGATGATTAAAAAATGAAGCAAATAAAGGGTAGATAAAATGATAAAAAACAAACAAACTACAAATAAAATAAAGTAAGGCATAAGAATTCATGAAACCACACTAGGGTGTGTCTATGTGTAATCACCACATACAGGTCATTAATACAGCTAAACCGGAATTCATTTTTCTTTGCTGAGTTTGCTTTAAATGAACAGAGCTGATTAATATCCTTTGTTCTTATCAACTTATAATATTGGTATTAATATTTTAGTAAGGTACTACAACTTACCAAGAAGCTCTATCCATTCTCTTTGACGTCACTTCTCTCTCAAGCAGATAAATCAGTCTGTGCACTGAAACTGAAAAGTCACTCGGCTCTGATCTGTCTCGCTGATTAACTGGATAATTATTTTTTCTGTGCATGTGTGTTTTAGGGGGATATTCGCATTCACATGATCTACAAATCTGCTGGTGAAGAGGCAATTAACGATCTCCTTGGTGGTAAGCTGATGGTTGATGTACTGACCAGGCTTCTGATGTGCTTTAATTAATCTTACATACTGAATGTGTGTCCGTCTGTTTATAAGGCGCTCTACCAGAACCACCTTTCCCCAGCCCTCCATTTCCAGGGTCAAAAGTTGTGCACAGGAGGAAAAAGAGACAGGTATGAGTCTACTAAATGGTAAAGCGGTCTGCACTTATGCAGGGTCTTTTCACCTTAAAAGGGTGCTACAAAGTGCTTTAAAATCTGTCTCCCATCCACGCACACACACTTACACACTAATGGTGGCAGCTTGACTGCCATTGAGAGCTGCTTGAAGTCAGTGTGCCCAAGGATATTTAGGCAATATAGTAGCCGGGGAAGGAAGCGCCGGCCCCGGACAGTCCTCTACCACCTGAGCCACAGCTGCTCAGATGGCAGAGGAAAATGATCGCCAATAGCAGCGGAGGCGTGCAGATGCTTATATTTTGTGCATGCCTGCATGAGTGTAAGACAGAGAGATAATTACGCTACCGAGGCTGTTGTCTTGATTACACTGCTTTCCGTCAATATGTTTTATGTTAATTCATAAAGAGTGTGCTGTTTCCAAGCTTTCCTCCCACTCAACAGCTCTCCAGCCCCCTCTTCTCCTCTTCTCGTCTTCTTCGGTTTCATGAAATATTTATCTTATAAGTAGAGGCTGCTTCCCTCCTCGCCTTTTCTCAGACATAGTCAGGTGTCTGCAGCTGTCTGTCTCTCAGCCCTGAAAGCTGCGCTCATATTTACTTTGATTAGGGCTCACAGACAAACCTGGTTTGGCTTTTGCTAAGCTGATGCTCTTTGATTTGTCATTTATTTTTCTTTGAGTCTCGAGTTGACCTTTGTTTTTAAGGTACTCCTTTGAAATTCTCCTTAATTTTTTTTATTTAGAAAAAGATGGCGTCTGCCTCCCGTTAATATGATAAAACTGTCGTCTCTTTTCAGGCTCCACATTTGTCACGAAGTGTAGAAGATGAGACCAAATACATCGAGCTGATGGTGATCAATGACCATTTAATGGTAAGCTTATTAGAGACTACAAAAAATAGACATGAATGTGACCTGAAGCCAGAAATCATGTTATGCTGGCCCACTGACCACAAATCTCTCTAGATTGAAGTGATGCAGGTGTGAAGCGTCACTTTTTATCACGACTGTCTGACTGTTGCATCACAAACAGTCATAGTAGAAAGAGTGCACATCCCTTTTCAATTCTACGGACTTATTTAGAAGATCATAGTAAAAATCAGCTGGTGCTTATCAGGTTTAAAATTATTTAATTTCAACCTCAGGTGCACAGCAACACGAAATACTACACAGAGACTGTATTTATTTACTAAAAACTGTTTTGTTTGCAATATTGTTGCAGTTCATTGAAGTTTGCGGACGTCCCTTTATGCATAACTCTCTTGAAGTCATATGACAGCATTTCATGGGTTTGGGGTTAAAGTCTAGGTTCACACTTGACTTTAGAGTATTTTGGTATAAAGAGGAGTCCATGGTCAACTCAATGACTGTAAGTTGCCAAGGCGCCGTCACTGCAAAACGCCCACAATCATCACCCTTTCACCACCGTGTTTCACAGTTGGTATGAGGTGCTTTTTTGCTGATGTGCTGCTTGGTTTTCTCCAAATGTGGCGCCGTAATGACAGCCAAACATCTTTGCTTTGGTTTCGTCTCTCTAAAGGAGATTCAGCTTTTCAAACCTTAGCCGTGCTGCCATGTTGTTTTTAGAAAGGAGAGGCTTTCTCCTGGGAACCCTTCCAAACACACCAAGTTTAGTCATCTTTGACATTTAACATACTAACTGAGGCTGTAGATTTAAATTTCTCCGAGCATTAGAAAATCTGCTCTTCTGGTTGAATTTGCTGCGTTGTCCACTCCTGGCAAGATTGTGGCATTGTTTTGACACACACCATGAATGCCTCAGACCAGCAAAGTGCCAAAACGTCTGCTTTTTATAGAGGTGCTCACACTTGGTGATGATCAATTATTAAATTCCATTTGAGTACCAGTACCTGGCTGCTACTTATCATCCTAATTCCTATGAAGGCAGAAAGGGTGTACTTAGTTTTTCACAGGACTGCGTATCCAAACAATTCTGTCAATATTAAGAGTTGTAATAATTCGTTTTACATTTTATGCTTCAAAGATGTAAAATACATAAAATACAGCCAAGATGGAAAAGTTTGGACGCATATACACTTGTTCTTGTAAATTAATATTGTGGAAAGATTCATGTCATCCACATAGATATTGACGTAAATCTTGGTGTTACCATTTCCAGTAAACAATAGTCAGACAGGGGGTTGCACGGTGGTCATGTGGTTACCACTGTCACATCACAACAAGAAAGGCCATGGGTTTGAACCTGCTAGCGGGATAAAGATGTTCCGTGTGGCGTTTGCATGTTCTCCCTCTTCTCGTCCTCCCATAAAGACATGCATGTTAGGTCTGCATTGAACAAGAAGAAGATGGATTGATGAATACTGAAACAGGAAGAAATAGTTGAAGCATGTCAGGCTTTGGATTTAAGACATGTATGAAATTAGACTCATTCCATTGTTGGTTGTGTGGTTTCTTGGGTTTTGTTGAAAGAAAACCATCTTTTAAATAGCTCAGAGTCTACAGGAAGCTGGGTGGGCTGAGAGTCAAGGCTGTAAACAAAGTAAGAGCATGCACTCAAACGCTGCCTTTACTGAGCATGAAAAAACCATTCTGATCAAAACGTGCCTGACTAAGATCCACTGGAATGGAATTGACTTTGTTTTTATATCGTAAAAGCAACATTAAGACTGAATCCAATGCGCAGACACAAGCTTTTTCCATACATTAAAATGGCTTAAAGTATATTTGTTCCAGATTATGAAACCCATTTATATTAATTTATCCTTCTTGTCTCTCTTTCTCTTTGTTTTTTTCCTTTCTACAGTATAAGAAGCACCGGCTTTCCGTCGGGCATACGAACAACAACGCTAAGACAGTGGTCAATATCGCTGACATGGTAAGAACTGTATCGATCCGCTTCTTGGAAAGCTTGCCACAAGCACTCCCAGGTACTGGAGTCAAGCGCACACTGCACTGATTTCTCATTTAACCAACCTCACTCTCCCCATTTAAAGCCTCTCCTGGCCCATAATATGCCGCGAGCAGCCATTAACTGCCCAGTTATGAGGTTTTCAGATGACTGGATGTCAAAAGCAGTGGTGGCATCTCGACAGCTCAGAGGCAGATTTTAAGTGTTTGATTATTTGTTGCCACGTCTGTGTGTTGTATTACTGAAATCTGAGCTGGGACAGGGTCACGTCTGTAAGTTGAGAGGCTGGTGAAGCTGGAGAAAGGTCGTGCTTTTTGTTGTGCCCTTGAAGAAGATCATATGAAGCAGGCTTTATTTAGGAGGCAGAGCATTGATTTCTTTCATCTATGCTAAACACTATAGCATACACCTGGAAGAAATGTTGGAATAAGAGCTGGAAAAGAAATAACGCAACAATGGTCTGGAGCAGGCTTAGTGTCTGAAGGTATTATTGTTCCTTCTGCACTTTTGGCAGCAGTGAACTCTCCACACAGATGCACCAGCAGAGGCAGATAGTTTGAGTTTGTAGGGGCCACATTGGGATTAAATCATGCACACTGACCCCTCCATCCCTGCACTGAGAAACCATTAGCATTTATTTTGAATGCAGACACTTTGCTCTTATCCGGTGTTTGTCTGGCCCGAGGCACCCGCAGATTTGCGTCTTATGAAAGCAAACATTATTATTTACAGCAGAGTTTGCTCCCACTGTGTCCTTCAGACGGTTACCTTTGTTTACTGTCTGTCTGGTTTCTTATGATGTGCCGCAGCTGTCTGGTGGCAGGATCATACTGAGCATTTGATCACTGTCGTATTGAACAGCTGGAGATGCCGATGCTCATGACACATCAAACCGAATATTTTTCCCACTTTCTGTTACACAAGTATTTAAACCTTCTTGACATTTTTCCTGATATCAAGTTTGCTTTTTCCACAGATTTTCAGGGAACAACTTAATACTCGAATTGTGCTCGTTGCAATGGAAACCTGGTCAGCTGACAACAAATTTAACATTGACGATGACCCCATGGTGACCCTGAAGGAGTTCATGAAGTACAGGAAAGACTTCATCAAGGAGAAATGTGACTCTGTTCACCTCTTCTCGTGAGTATGACAGTTAGGAAAATAAAATGTTTTTTTTCCCCTTATACACTCAGCATCTTTTGATAAAACACCCTTTTCTTTCATCAGAGGGTCTCGCTTTCATAGCAGCTGGGGTGGAGCTTCCTATATGGGCGGAGTTTGCTCTCTCACCAAAGGAGGGGGCGTCAATGAGGTGAGTAAGAATTAAATAATT